CCACTGGCATAATCAGTGTTAGTGCTGTCATGTGATCACTGTCTGTAATATTAACATCATAACTACTGTAATAACACCACTGGCATAATCAGTGTCAATGACACACAGTGTTAGTGCTGTCTTGTGATCACTGTCTGTAGTATTAACAACAGAACTACTCTAATAACACCACTGGCATAATTAGTGTTAGTGCTGTCTTGTGATCACTGTCTACAGTATTAACATCATAACTACTGTAATATCACCAGTGGTATAATCAGTGTTAGTGCTAGTGATCACCGCAGGATGCTGACAGTGAATCACACACAGTATGGCTGCGATCTGATCTCGATTACTTGCAGGGGACACAAATAATGTGTTTGTGGGGCGCTGTGGAAATAGCACCCTGACCCTGCTGAGAGACTCTCCTCTCTGTTGGCTCTGCCAGTCTGGGCACAAGGACTCACCTGTGGTGTGACTCAAGAGAAGCGATCAGACAAAAACACAGTTGATTTGTTTCTTTTGCTCACTTATTTTTAGTTGGCCAGCCTATGATGGTTTTTTTGGAGTTACAGTAGGTCTGTGATGTTGCACTCAAACCAGAAAAAAACAACTTTCAAATTACTGTCCATTAACTGAGATAGTTAAGATACATAATGAATTAATCTATTAAAATCAATTCATTAATTCTCCCTGCAGGAGTTGCGTTATCTAAATCATGTTATTTAATTGCCATCAGAGCAATGCTCAAAATTAGAGAGGTCATTTTTAGAAGCACGCAATTAATCAAACCCAAGAAGGTAAATTAATTAAAATGGTTAAACATTTGTTTTTTGTCTAGTTGGGATTGATTAGTCATTTTGATCATTCTTAGTTGAATCAAAAGTTAAAGGTATTAAAAACACCATTTCATTGAACAGCAATATCAAAGCCAGTTTTTTCTCCTTCCTTTGAGTGCACAGTGAAATGCAGATGATCTCTGTGCCATGACACAGCGAACAAAATGGCATATACAGTACGAAATAAATCTTAGAGTGAAAAGATGGCAGAAAGGGGGAGGACAGGGTTAGTGAGGAAGAGGAAGGAGAGTGAGCGAGGGAGAGGAAGGAGAGTGAGTGAGGGAGAGAAAGCACAGAGTGAGTGAGGGAGAGGAAGGACAAGGTGAGTGAGGAAGAGGAAGGATGGGGTGAGTGAGGGAGAGGAAGCACAGGGTGAGTGAGGGAGAGGAAGGACAGGGTGAGTGAGGGAGAGGAAAGAGAGTGAGTGGGGGAGATTAGGAGACAGAAAGGAAGGACAGAGTGAGAGTGGCAGACTGAGGGGGAGAGGGAGGGAGAAGAGGAAGAGTGAAAGGGAGAGAAAGATTATTTACCACGTTCACGCTGGATGACTGAGCACCGGGGAAGGAGGAGGAGGGAGAGGGAAGGAGGGATGGAGCAATGGAGGAGGGGGAGAGAGAGAGAGGGATCGTGAGTAAAAAACAGCAGGAATCCAGGCGAGGCACGGGAGATTACTGCTACTGAGACCACAAGAAAATAAATCAACCACCCAACAAATTAATAAAGGAGCCTGAAAAAAAATATTGACAGAAGAAAGGAGAGAAAGCTATACAAATTAGTGTAATTTAAATTACTGAAACATAATTAAAAGGTGAGAGAAAATGTAAAAATATATATATAAACACAAAAGCAGTCCATAATTAATCAATTAAATAACTAAATCAATCACCCTTCTAGCTAGTGTTGAGTGTGATTAATGGTTATTAAAGATGAGTGTGGCCCTGTCCCTGTTGCCTCACTGGCCCACCACAGCCCAGCCCTACAGGTAGTTTCCAGTGCCGAGCTCCAGTCACAGCCTTAGAACCACACAATAAATCTCCCCACACTCAAACCCTAAACCTCATCCTGACCTCCAATCCACTCCTGAACCCGACTTTTCAGGCTAGCACTTACTCTTTTCCTAATACCCACACAACCCTTCACCAAACATCTGACCTTGACGTCTGTCCCCACCTTAACCCCAAACCCTCAAGTATCTCATCCCCTAACCCTAATCCTAAAATCTAATTTATTTTATCCCCTACCTTAACCTCGAACCCTAACGTATCTCAACCCCTACCCTAACCCAGAGCCCTAAAGTATTTCTGTACCTTATCCTAACCAAACTCCCTTAAGTATCTCAATCCTTACCCTATCCCAGAGCCCTAAGGTATCTCAGCCCCTACCCTCATCCTGAAACCTAACATATCTTATCCCCTACCCTAACCCCGAATCTCATAGTATCTCAACCCCTACCCTAACTCTGCTCAAGATTACGGAACAATGTACTTCTTTAATAATGTAATACTTTAACAAAGTGTTTTGCTTTCAGTTCAAGGGCAAATGTAAAATCCTGTCTCAAACTTTCAGGAGCAATGGAGCCATAGTGCCACCCTTGCAGAGGCAGACATTAATTGTGATTGAACTTCTTTTGCAGATGTTTCACAGCTCCTGGCTGAATAAAACCCTAGAGTTCCATAGAGAGAACTAGATAGAGGATATACTGTAGCTAGTTCAGAGCTAGACTCTCAGAGCAGAATACTGCTGAAGAGTATTCTTGCTAATACACTACAGCATTGAAGACTATCTACATTAAGAGCTGGATGAAGATTACTTTTCAGACACATTCAGACATACTGTATGCTGAAATATATTTGCACTCACTATTAAGCAGAATAATAGGAGACCTTTATATAACATATTGGTTACTCTTACCGGAAAGAAAGAAATGTTGGAAAACATAGAAAGTTCAATTGCACAGAAAGAGCACAAAACTAAAATTGTTACTTTTGTTCTTGTTCTGCATTTGACATATGTCAGGCTGTAGCGACCGCTCACAGAACTGCTGACGATGACAATGAAAAAGCCTCAGGCATGTTTTCTGTTGTCTTCTTTTCTGTAAAAGGCTCTGGTTTCCTACAGAGTGAATGAAGGAATATCTCTTCCAGCTCTCTTCCAGATGTGGTTTTTCAGCAGAGTTGACAAAATTGGGTGATGATCTTTGTAAAATCACATTTTTGTTCCGGGCTGGTTCATACTGTAATCCTGTAGTCCATAGATCACTGGTCCAGTCTGTGTCCTATTGTAACCCTAC